GCTTTGGGGACACCGCGCAGGTGACAACGGCGTGCGGGGGGGACACGGGGGTGGGTCCGGGGTGTGACAGCGCAGGGGGGGATGCGACAATGGGGGACAGGCGGGGATGGGGACACGGGGGCGGGGGGGTGTCCCCGGGGGTGGCGGCGGCGGTGGCCGTGGCTCACCTTGGCGAAGTAGAGCATCCAGAGCTCGCAGAGCCGCTCCCGGGAAGAAGCCATGCCCGGGGCCGGGACCGAGCGGCGGCTCCGCCCCGCCCCGAGCCCCCCCACCCCCGGCACCTCCCCCAGGTGTGTGTGTGGGGGGGGCGGGGACTCCCCTCCACCTGCTGCGGGCCCTTCCCCACCCTCGGCTTTCCCTTCCCTATTCCCGCATCCCCGCGCGCTCATTAATGGGGTGAGCAAGGCGAAGCCGCACCCCGCCCCAAATAATTAGCGCTGATTAGCGCAGCTGAGCCCCGCTCGCACTCGGAGGTGCCCTGCACGAACCGAACCCGACGCTTTCGCCTCGTTTTCCCCTTTAATCTCCTTTTAAAGCATCCCCAAACATTTAATGGGGAATTTTTCACCTTCCCCCCCCCCCCAGCCACCGCCACCCCAATCGCCCCCAATCGATTGCTCGCATCGATACGCTCGGCGCTCGGCACGCCCGGCCTGCCGCGCATGCGCGCAGCGCGCTGTACGGCAGCGGGGGACGCGGGGTGCAAGATGGCGGCGCCCGGCGGCGGCATGGACGGCGCGGAGGAGGCCGAGGGGTTCGTTCTGGGGCGGCTGGAGGCGGAGGCGCTGAAGCGGCGGGAGCGGCTGAAGGCGCTGAGGCAGCGGACGCTGCAGGTCGGGCCGGGCCGGGCGCTGCCAGGGCGGGGGAAGCGCTCGGAGGGGCCCCGCGGTGGGGCCGAGGCTGCGGAAGGCGCCCGTGGGTGCCGCGGCCGGGCGGAGGGGCCCAGGGGAATTCTGAGAATTTTGGGATATTTGGGGTCCTCGGGTCTTTTGGGGTGTCAGAGGGGCCCCAGGTGGGTCGCAGTTGTTTGGGGTGTGGGGGTGTTCAGGACATCCACGCGGATCCCGAGTTTTTTGGGATGTGGGATGCGGGTAGTGTGGAATGGGGCTGGGAATGTTGGGGGTGGGTCTGGGATTTGGGATGCAGAAGGTTTGGAATGGGGCTGGGGATTTTGGGGTTCCCGAGGGTCTGGAATGGGGCTGGGAATGTTGGGGGTGGCTCTGGGATTTGGGATGCAGAAGGTTTGGAATGGGGCTGAGGATTTTGGGGTCCCAGAGGGGCTGGAATGGGGCTGGGAATGTTGGAGAGGAATGAGAACATCTCACGCAGATCCCGAGTTTTTTGAGATTTGGGATGCAGGCAGTGTGGAATGGGGTTGGGAATGTTGGGGGTGGGTGTGGGGATTTGGGATGCAGAAGGTTTGGAATGGGGCTGAGGATTTTGGGGTCCCAGAGGGGCTGGAATGGGGCTGGGAATGTTGGGGGTGGCTCTGGGATTTGGGATGCAGAAGGTTTGGAATGGGGCTGAGGATTTTGGGGCTCCCGAGGGTCTGGAATGGGGCTGGGAATGTTGGAGAGGAATGAGAACATCCCATGTGGATCCCGAGTTTTTTGGGATGTGGGATGCAGGCAGTCTGGAATGGGGCTGGGAATGTTGGGGGTGGGTGTGGGATTTGGGATGCAGAAGGTTTGGAATGGGGCTGAGGATTTTGGTGTCCCAGAGGGGCAGGGAATGTTGGAGGGGAATCAGAACATCCCACACGGATCCGTAGTTTTTTGGGATCCTCTCTTCTTTGGGTGGGATGGCATTTGAGGATTTTGGGGTCCCAAAGGGACTGGGGGTGTCACATCCCAGACGGATCCTGAGTTATTTGGGATGGGGCAGGAAGGGATTTGAGGATTTTGGGGTCCCACAGGGGCTGGAGATGTCCAAGGGTCCCTCATGGATCCTGAGTTTTTTGGGATGTGGTGGGACAGAGGATCGGCTCTTCCCTGCCCTCACCCCCTCCATGTGCAGCCTCTGGGATTTTTGGGGTGCTGCTCCCAGGGCAGGGTGGAATTCCCAATCCCACAGGGATTGAAATCCCGTGGCTGTGGGACCCGGATCAGTGCTGGCAATGGTTGGACTCCATCTCCAAGGCTTTTCCAACCTCGAAAATTCCAGGATTCCAGAACTCTTTTCCCATCACCAGCGGAGGCAAAATCTTGGGAAAAACCCCATTCCAAAAACTTTCCTTCTTCTCCTTGAACAGGATCTCCCCGTTTCCTGCCAGGGAGGGTTAATTCCTAAAAAAAACCTGGGATTGGCTTTTCCTCAATCTCCCCTGCCATTCCCATCTCCATGGCAATGTGCACGGAGATTTTCCCTAATTCCCTCTTTTCATCCCTCTCCATTAAAAAAAAAGGATTAAAGGCTCCTTGGGATCCCAAACCTCATCCCGGGCTCCTTTCATCTCCTGGAATTCCAGCTGGATTTGTCCTTTTTTTCCGGAGCTTTGGGATGGGATCCGTGGAAATGAGGAGTGACACGGAGCCTCTTTGGGATGCTGTGCCAGAATTCCCCTTGGGAATTCTCTTTCATGGGATGCTTTGGTGGGAAGGACCTTCAAGGTCATCCCGTTCCATGGGCAGGGAATTCCAAGCAGCACTTTGGTTTTTAGTGGAGAATTCCTGGTTTTCCAAGGATGGAAAGCTGAGAGGAGGAAAAAAAGAGTGGGAAAAGGAAAAATGGTAGGAAAGAAAAAGGATGGGAAATAAATTTTTCCAACTGATCGGATCCAGTATCATTCCAGAGGAATGGAGGACAATCCCAAGCTCTTGGAAAAGAGCTGGGATATAAAGGAAAACTTTTCCCACCCTGCTGGAAGATTCTGGGAGAGCTCAGCCATTCCCGGCCTTTGGGGAGAAATTTGGGAATTCTGTTGTGGTGTGGAAAAGGTTTGGGTTGAAATTCCTGCTTTATCAAACCTTGGAGAATCCCAAAATCCCGGATTTCTTTTGGGAAAGAGCCTGAAAGTTCCATGGGCAGGGAATTCCAATCAGCTGCTGTGGAGCTCTTTGGTTTATGGAAAATTCCTGGTTTTCCAAGGATGGAAAACTGAGGGAGGAAGAAAAGGGTGGGGAAAAATGGTGGGAAAGAAAAAGGGTGGGAAATAAATTTTTCTTTTGGGAAGAAACCTTAAACCTCACCCAGTTCCATGGGCAGGGAACCCAGAACATTCCAGGCCTGAAATCCATAGGGAAGCAAACCTGAGGCTGCGATCCCGGCAGGAATTCCAGGTTTTAATGGGAATAAACCCTGGATATTCCAGGAGGAGCCGCCCCAGGATGATCCCGAGCTGGTGAAAATTCCAGCAGTTTTTGTGGAGCAGCTCAAGGTCCTTGGGAAGCTTTTCCTGCTTTTTTTGGGGGAGCTGTGAAAGGCTTTTATCCTTTTCCTTTATTCCCCGTTGGTTCCATTCCCTTTGACAGCTCATCCCTTTGTTTTCCTGCCTGAATTCCAGAAATCCAGGGAATGCAAATGATCCCAGCTTCAGATCTCTGGGAAACGTTTCAAGGGCAATGGATTTTCACTGGAAAAAAAATCCTTGGACGTCCAGGACTTCCTAAAAATTAGGGAGAAGCTGAAGGAAGGAAAATATCTCAGAAATATCTGGATTTTCCCTGTTTCTTGCATCCCTTGTGTTAAGGAATTTTGCTTTTCCTGGAGTTTTCCTGTCACTCTGGTGTCTCGTGGGTGAAATTTTGGGTTGTTCACGGAGAAACCTGGATTGTGTCCTGCCTGTGGAAAAATCCAGTTTTTCTGGGATTCTCTTAGGGTTGGAGGCACCAAAAATAGGGAAAAAGGGAAATTCTTCTGTCTGCTCCTTCAGTTTCCGGATCAGATTCCCTCAAGGAAAATTCTCCAAAAATATTTTGGTGGAAAAAATAACGGGAGAGGAGAATAAATCAATGGAATAAGGATGTTCCTGCTTGAAAATTCCATGGAAAAATGGGAAGCTGCTCCTTTGTCTGCAGTGCTCAGATTCCCTAGGGAATCCAGCAGAGGCTGAGCTGTGGGAAGGTTTCTTTGTGGGAATATATTCCAGGATTATCCAGAGGATTTAAGTTAAAATCTGGGAATTCCTGCTTTGGGATTCCCACTTTTCCTTTCTTCCCATGGAAAGTAGGGGATGAAGGACTTTTTCCCATAATTTAAGGAAAAAATTCCTTGCTGGGACAATATTTGGGAATTCCCATTGGGCACATCCTAGATTTCCAGTTTTTCCCCTTTTTATGTGAAATTCTGGGATCTGATGGCTCGAAGTTCCACTCTGAGGGAATTCCCAGGAAAATTCCCTGGGAATTCATCTTTTAAGGTCTATGGGGGTGCTGCTGATATTCCCAAAGGATCCCTCAGCAAAATCCAGGTGGGATCGCTGGCTCAGATTCCCAAAATTCCTAATCCAAGACCTCCACAGCTCCTTCTCCTGCCTTTTTATCCCCAAATCCTTAAAAAACCAGAGCTTTGCCGTGGTTTTTTTGGGAAGGAAGAGTCTCCCATCGCTCCGGAGCATTCCCTGTGTTGTTCCTCGAGCTGGAAAAATTCCTTTGGCTGCATCCCAAGCTTTTGTTCCCGGCTGGATTGGCTCCAGAGCCACATCCCAGCTCCTCCACACCTTCCCGGCGGGAGGAAGGGCCGGCACTGCTCCTTTCCGCTGCCTTTTCCTGCTTTTCCGCCCTTTCCCAAAGCTCTGGACTTTGGCTGCTCCTGTCCTTGTTTTTCCTGTTTTTTATTTATTTATTTATTTTTTTTTTTATCGTGCTGGGATTTGTTTTTTGCTCCTCGTGATCCAGCGCCAGAGGCTTGGGAGAAGAGTTGCTGTGGAAACGGAGCCCTGGGAAGTTTTTCCAGCCAGGATAAAACCCCTCGGAGGGCTCTGAAGGATCCTTTCCTATCCAGGCTTTTTTTTGGAAAGTTGGAACGGGCTGGAAATGTTTCATCCTGGACGTTCTTCCCAACAATTCCAGCCTGGGAATGTTGATTTGGAGATAGGAGAGGGCTGGGATGGCTCAGGTGGGATCCTCAGGGCTGGAGCAAAGTTCCTGGAGCAAATCCAGACGAGGTCACGGAGCTGCTCCAGGGGTGGAGCCAGGCTGGGAGAGCTGGGAATGTTCACCTGGAGAAGGGAAAATTCCAGGGA